ATCTTGGTTACAGCAAGCGGCATATATACATTGCACTAGGTGCGCCTCGGACATTCAACCAAGTTTACTCGAAGCACTTGAGCACAACTTACCTGTACCAACCGAATCAGCTTCTGACGTGGATTGATGAGAGTGATCACCCGGCATAGAAGACACTGAAGAAACAGATGATCGCCTGATAGCTGTTTCACCCGGTGAACGAGTCGATGTTTTAGCGTAGGGATCTGTCGGCAAGACATGTACGAAAAAAAAAGAAAGAAATTTTCACGTCAGCAAACACTGCATTTCTCAGCCGTTGGATCGTTTATTAATAGTTCAAGCCGGCTGTATCTCGTTAGCAAACAGCTTACCCTGGAAATGCTTACTATTCCCTTTGTTCCTGCCTGCAACAAAGGAAGTCGTAGACGCCGTAGGCAAAGCTACATCCACCATATCTACTATAGAGTGCAGCGGGTAAGAAGAATGCTTATGCATATCGATTAGACTTCGATGTTAGCATTATTTAACAATTAGATTATGAGTTCGAGATTTCTTTTGTGTGATAGTTGACGATGGCGCAGCCCTTGTCAACTATCACGTGTAGTAATCGAGAGCGAATAATCTAATTGCTTTAGTATAAATCTACTAGTCGTTCAAAACTCTATCTAAATACTCTACACAGACACTTCGAAAAAGCCAAGAAGCGGCCGTAATTATGTTAACAAGCGCGCACTACGCTACTCACTATCTATTACAGAATAGGTAGTGAGTAGCGTATCCAATCAGAGAGCGGCATTCGTGATAGAAGTTAGTAGATTTGTACTAATTAAAAGGGATTAGAAGAAAGTAAATGAGTCAGCCTGGAAATGAGCTCTACCAACCTGTTGTATTACCAGGGGCTTCAGTGGACACACTCTCTACTGTGCCAATTGTCTTTACGCTCGCTGTTCGAGAGGTGCTGTGTGGCTTTTCAGAAACTGTTGTGCAAGAATAAAAATCAGATATTAAGCAGGTTAAAATAGTACCTTGCTTCCTTACTCTTCTTCGAAGCACACGCCACATAAGGAGGTTTGTTTTGTTTTGTTTTGCTTTTTACAGTTTAGTTATCCTGCAGAACAGCCAGTTCAGCACAGTACACGACAGCGCTGCCCCGCTAAAACGCTTGATCTAAAGACAGCAGTTTAGTCTATGGATAGATCTTGGCAACATTTTCTAACCAATGACTTCGTTTGTTTCAGACCGGTTATGGCGTTTGCAAACGCTAAGGAAGAAAACTTTGCGATAATTGTTATTGTTTGTTTCGTTGGCGTGCCTGTCGATTTGGCAGTCGAAAAAGCTTAATTTTGAAATAAGAAACGAAACGAAAAAGTGCCATGTCAATTTAAATTTGATTTGGAATCCTGAAGCTTTAACGAGCTTCATTCCAAACAGTTTCATTTCAGGTCCAATTCGATCATTTGCATGGGTGGGAGAACTGGAGGCGAGGTTATGGTTGCACTTCGCGAAACATGATTTTTGCGCCATGAAATTTGGAAGTAAATAAAGCTCTGAGCCGGACAGGATTATAAGAAAACCTATATGGATGAGTAAGCGAATAAAGTAAAGAAAATAACCTGTTGTTAGCTTTTGTGTAGTAACCTTTCTTGTAGTAGTGATAAACTGGCCTGAAAACAAAAAACATGGTGCACATCAGTAGCTAGATGACAAGTGAGATTAATTTTCTGTAACTGACGTTTCATCAAAATTTACACCATATAAACATTGATCGAGAGACAATTACAGCGTTCGGCTTGTAGCATTTTAACAAAAAAAACCCCTCTTGCATCAATAAGTTATCGTCAAATCAGCGACGTTCTTAAGGGATCCGAGATATTTCACCCCAAAAATCTAATATGTTTTAAAAAATTTCGCGCGCAACAACCATTTCTTACTGACACACTACACGGATCTGTCCGAAGCGAAGTCATCGGTATGGAATGTTTACCACTTGAAGTCCATTCCAGAGCAACAGGCGGATAAACTGCCGATACCGTTTCAACAATCTTCTTTTGAGCAGATTTATCCATTTTGTAAGCTTACATTTAGTTTTCTTTCCGGCGTTAGTTTTTTTTTTTTTTTCATCGTATCATTTAAAACAGCGCATAGACTCTTTCGCTGTTGTTTGCAATAATTTTGATTAAATTAAAGGGAAAACGTTATAATTCGTGTTGTTTAAATGGTTTTCTTCTCCATTTGAAGATGTCACACGTCGTGCAAACGAGCTTACTGAACAAGGAGTGAGAAATTTTGCCGGCGGCGAAGACTTAATCAGTGCCACACTTCTGACTGTTTCAGGCGTATCAGTTCGACATAAAAAATTCCGATTCAAATGGAGGTTAATATTGCGGTGCTTAGTCATCAAAACTTCAGCTATTGTTCAGTGTTCTTCAGTCTATCTGGAGCCGGTTGATTTTATCCTATTTGCATTAATTTCGGATTTTTTTTTTTTATCGGCCTACGTATTGCGGTTTTGACTGGAATTTGTTAATTCAAGAGAGGGTCAAGGTACTGAGAAAAATGCCTTACAGGAAGGAAGTCGTTTTTCAGTGAACGATTTTCAAATATAAAATAAATTGGATAAAAAGATTCCATAGTGCAAATTGGAACAAGTGTTTGGGCAAGAGGCACAGGATTACAAGCATAGAAGCATATTACGGTTCATCACTTTTTCTTGGCTTGTTTGGCTTTCATCACTTCTGGCGCTTTTTCTTTCCGTTACCAAAATAATAACGTCCGATGAATAAGCTGGGACTGAGTCTCCTTACTAAATATGAGGGAGATTTACTATGTAAAATCGCACTATTAATTGAATACTTTCATCTCCTTTAATTAATCAGTACAAAAGGGTCATTAAGCAATCTGTTTGATTTGTTTCAGCTGATAAATTGTTATCACTGCAAGGATAGCCAGATCTACATTATTCTACAAAACTGTAAAACCACGGTAAATTGCAAGTCTCCTCCTGTTTCGGCGATATGTTTTTGTCCATTGTAGTTGCGACTCGATTTCAGCGAGATACGACAAAACATATGGCAAGTTTCACCCTTCCCTAAAAGGTCGAATTTGTTGAAATGAGACCAAAGAATTCCGGGATGCCAAAGTAGTGCTGAAATGGGTTATTTTCAAGGCAGTTGTAACAGGTTGGGAAAGGGACGAAATTTTCTTTCCAACGAATGGTTGAAAAACGACCAGCCGGGTAACAGAGAAACTTTGAAAGTCTAACTCATGTCTAAAAGAGCAGCTTTGATAAACAGCACCGTATCTGAACAGAGTGCCGATTTAATGTGACATCTTCAGTCATAACATGTATTCAACTCGTTACTCCAAGGAGGATCTTGGACTGATGATATTCTTTGTGAGTTAAATCTTTTTTCACTTTTTAATTAAGGCCATTAAGACTCGTGAGAAAAAACGTTTACGTCAGGCTATCGTGTGAATTTTTAAAATAATATTAAAACAACAACATCCGAGAACCAATTGAGAATGAAAGGTCATGGGAAAACTCAAATATTTGATCTCGGGTAAATCCGAATGAAATCCTAACTTCAATATGGCTATCAATGTTTGAACCGGGGAAGAAAACGGTGGTTCACGAGTACTCACATCAAGTACAAAGAACTTTTAACACTTCCTAAGTTAGTAAAAGAAAATTGTCGCTTATACTTACTGTTAGAGGCCGAGCTAAATCTTGCCAAGCTTATCATACCACAGGTCAGATATATTGCCACGAAACGTCTCCCAACTTCAAACATGTCGATAGTCTTGCTTCGCGCTTCCTTCAAACTGATCTGTGATATCTGCTGTACACTTCAGGTTGTTGGGAAAAATCGAGAAACCACAAATCCACACAAAGTCCAGGGTTGGTTTCAACTCAGTTCCTGTTAGGAGTACAACTTCCCCTATAAGAATACAAAGCTGAGAAGGCGTGCGCTTGTAACTTGAGCAGACAATAAAACGCTAAAGA